TGGATAGGGGGAGAGTGGGCTGTGGGTAAAATGGGCCTGGGCAATTGGGTAGGGTTGATAGGGCTGAGACCCTAACAAACCGGGTTGGGGGGAGGGGAATTGTCCAGTAGCTTGTCCCGATGGTGATTGCCGATGGAGTCCGCCGCTGCCACGTCCTCGACCGCGGCCCCTGCCGCGGTTGCCACCGCCACTGCCGCCGCCCGAAGTCCGGCCTTGTCCACCGTAGCCGCGTCCGTCCGCCGGCCGTCCGTGCTGCTGTGCGCCTGCTCCATAGCCGCTGCCACTGCCAATGCTGAGAAGGGCAGTGGGCCGCGCTCCGGCGTCGTAGAGAGAGTCCTGCTGCTGCTGTTCGACGAGGAGTAAGGCTGACCGGACCTCCAAGAAGGTGGGGAGGGGATTCTGGTATTGCAAGAATTGAACTTGGCTCCGGATTTCATGAGGTAAACCTTGGAGAACCTGAAGAACGAGAGCATGTTCGGTCACTGGTGCGTCGACATCGTCAAGGTATTCGGAGAGATTTTTGAGGAGACGACAATAGTCGTTTATGGAGCGGTTGCCTTTCACAGTGGTGCGGAAACGATGCTCCAATTGCATTGCCCGTGCGTGCTTGTTGTCGTGGAAGAGGGTGTAGATGGCCGTCCAAAGAGCATGAGCGGTGAGATTGTTGGCAAGGACGAGATCGGAAACTTCATCCGTGATGGTGGACAAGATCCACCCCTGAATGAGGGCATCAAATTGATACCATTCAGCGTCGTCAGCGGAAGAAGCGATGGTGGTGCCGTCGATGAATCCCTTGAGGTTGAATCGGAGAATCAAGAGTCGAAACAATCGACTCCATTTTTTATAATTTGGTTCGAAAAGGCTAAGTTGCACGGGGATATGGAGTTTAATATTTGATATGGTTGTGAAGGCTAGATGAGGAGAATTGTTGGAAGAAGAGTTGTCGGAGTTCGAGACAACCTTGCCGGAAGATGAAGAAGAAGCAGCCATGGCTGTGGGAAGAGAAGGGATCGGCGGCTGTGAAGGGGAAGCACTGCCGATCGTAAGATTGGGGAGAGACGGAAGCCAAAGTTAGACTCTGATATCATGTAGAATAAATAATTTCCAATGAATTATTATGGGAGATTACATGTGTATATATACAAGGATTTCTTAATCACACTAGGAAACAATAATAAATACATCCTATACAAATATGGTAGCTACCAATATGCATGAATATTAAATATAGTAAGAATATATTTAACAACACTTTTTTGAATCTAGATTTTAGATTCTAATTAAAATCTGAGCCGCATTTGAAATCTAAATACTCCCTCCGTCCCCCATAGATCTTCCCAATAGCCCTTTTTCTTTGTCCACAATAGATCTTCTCATTTCATTTTTTAACAATTAAAATACCACAACTACCTCCACTTACTTTATTTATTACACCTCACCCACCTCATTTAATATGCTCCACCCATTTTCATTAAGGATATTATGGTAAACTTTCACCTTTTTTCAACTCTCCTTAAAAACCACCAAAAGTCAAAATGAGAACATCTTAGGGGGACGGAGGGAGTATCATTCTTTAAGCTTCAGAATCAAGATTTTTTTAAATTTTTTAAACTCAAGTTAAAATTTTCCATATCTTGTGCGACTCGCCTCCTTTTATAATGAGATAAAACCCGCAATTCTCTCAATTTTTCTTTGTACACGCCCCTCCCTTCTTCTTCTCTTTTAAGAAAAAAAAAAATTATTTGAATTTACTTTTTTGGAAATCCATACTTTATTTAAAAAGGCATGGAGTCAACATATGATTTTCCCGCCCAAAGAGCATGACAATTACAAATGGCAATTGTGAATTTAAAATGGTATGTGGACGAAATTATATTAATAATTATTATAATTATTATATTTATAATAATTAAAGAAAGGTAAGTTAAAATGGCCGAAAGGTAAGTTAATAATTGCAGTGGCTGAAATTACTGTAATAATTATTATAATTATTATATTTATAATAATTACAAAATGGCCGAAAGGTAAGTTAATAATCGCGAAGTTAAAATGGTAAGTGGCCGAAATTGTGAAGTTCTAATTATTAAAAAAAGGTATAAATATAATAATTAACGTATTGAAAATTGGAAATAATTAAAAAAGGTAAGTTAATAATTGTAGTGGTCGAAATAGTAGTAATAATTATTATAATATTATATTTATAATAATTATAAAATGGGGAAAAGGTAAGTTAATAATTGTGAAGTTAAAATGGTAAGTGGCCGAAATTCTGAAGCTATAATTATTAAAAAAAGGTATAAATATAATAATTAACATATTGAAAAATGGTAAGCGTGACGTTAATATAATTATTATATATAATAATTAACGTATTGAAAATTGAAAATAATTAAAAAAGGTAAGTTATAAAATCGCAGAGCGTAAGTTTCTAATAAAATTGGAATCAATGTATTATATGTTAATAATTAACCAATGTTATTTGGACTACTGATTGGAAACGTATGAAATTATTGTAAGAATAAATAACTATCATTTTTAACCATCGGAAGTTAATATAATTATTTTTATAATAATTAACGTGAGTAATATAAAATGGTAAGCCATCGTAAGTTAATATAATTATTATATTTATAATAATTACCGTATTAAAAAAGGTAAGTTATACAAATTCAAGACGTAAGTTTTAAATATAGGTAAGTTATACAAATGCAAAGAGTAAGTTTTTGAAAATTGGAAATAATTAAAAAAGGTAAGTTATACAATTATACACCCAATTTCGAAAAAATAATTGTGGTAAGAATAATTCTACACCCAATTTTGAAAAAAGTTAACCCTTTTATTATAATTATAATTATAATAGCCTATAGCTTATTACAATTAAATACACTATAAATATTCCCTCAAATTGTACAATAATGTAGTCTATAAAAAAGTCTTTCGAAATTTGTAAAATAGTGATGTTTTTTTACCTTAAAATAATATAATCTCTATATTTTATTCCATCTCATTTTTATCATTCAAAAATGATTTGAATTTAATAACATAAAAATAACTCGTGCAACGCACGGGTGTGATACTAGTTGGATCAAGATCGTGGGAAGTATTACGAAATATGAATATAGTCAATATATAAACAATTATCAATACAAAAATACGGAGTATGAAATTGTTCAAAGATATCCATCTATTAATTCTTTTGGCAAAAAAATAACTCTCTTGTAAGAATTAATTTTCCAAATGGATTTTTTTTGGACAAATAGGACACTATTTGACGAAAAATTGTAAGGAAAATATATTTAATTATAATATAATTTTATATAATTGAGTTTATTACAAGATTTAGTTTTGATATATCAATTCATTTAGTTATGTAAAACTATATATTATTTTTTGAGACGGAGGTAGTATAATTGTTGGTAAAAAATTACTAGGGTAAACAAATTCATATAAATAAAGGAGTAAATTCTTAACACGTACAAAGTTGGGATAACACGTACTTGTTGAGTACCATTTTCAAAAATTTGCTCTAAATAAATAATTCCTTGCAATGGATTGCTTTGTCTAAATTTGCACAGTGGTAATTCCATATCATTGGGTTTATTTTAAGATGTGGTTTTAAAACATAAAATTTTTATACAAATTAATTATTAAAAAATATATTTAATGTCTGGTAAAAAATGTTGTCGTTTGGCCAAAAAAAGAGACGATAATTCAGAGACGAAGGTAAAATAATTGTCAGCACAGGGTACTAGGTTATATAAAATTCATATAATTTGTATAAAAATACTGGAGGGTGATGGGATAATACCCCCTAGGCCTAAGGAAAGATATTGGGCCGATCCATAAGGAGCCCGCTAGAGAACCCTAACCTTAGGCTCCTACCTTGATGCTATATAAGAGACACATAACCAAGAAGAAAGGGGAGCCACCTTCTACATTCCCCACATATATTGTATTCACCATGTTCATCTTCTCCTTCTTGATGGAGCTTCGAGCTCCATCAATGGCGATCCCACCAATATGTTGTACAAATATACCCCCAATATATAATAAAACATCTCCGTTGGCATGGTACCGCTGAAAAAGGCCCGTGGTTTTCACCGGTTTGGTTTCCACGTCAAAAGTCTATTTTCTATATTCTTGTTTATATATTTTCCGTATTTTATACATATATCATATAGATCAAAAAATATACACCCGGGGGGTTTTGGTCTATTAGAGGGTTTTGCCTAAATTTTCATAGTCGATAGTGTTTTTTCTAGTCTTGCCTGCCAAGAACCTTCGTCTCATTGACATATTTATGCGGACTAATCAAGTTTATAACTGTTAAATTTTATCAATTCGCATTATTTTGGCACAAATAGTCTTTACGAGATTTTTTTTAGTGGGCCTAAAATGGTAAATTTAAGACTATTTTCATGAAATTATGCGAAGTATTCACAGATTATAATTGCATGATGAAACAATATTTATATAAAAAAACTAAAAGTTTTTGTAGCTGTGTAATTAGAATTTTTTTATGTATCAAATTTGGATTCTAACAAGCGTAACTTAAAAATTTTGCACCTTAAAACAGGATTACTTATTGTTACACCTGCCGCCGCTATTAAATGCTTAGTAGTAACCAGACTCCGCTTTATACGCAGTAACCTATAAATTCGACATTTGAAATCCCTTCCTTCTTCTTCTTCTTCTTCTTCTGCACTCGCACTGGAAGTTTCTTTCGAGAGGTTCGCTTCGTTTCTTTCAATCTTTATTTCTATTTCGTTTATTGCCTTTCTTTTCACAATTAATTTCTGTGCTTTTCTTTATGAAAAATGGAGTCTTGATTTTTAGCGTTTCTTGGCTGTTTATGGGAATCTTGAGTTCGACATTGAAAAGACTATGCCTTTTTGTTTCTAGGTGTTTGACTAGTGTGAAGATGAATCCCAAGGAAGATTTGGAGATCACCATCAAAACGCTGGATTCAAGATTATTCCGGGTGAAAGTTGAGAATTCCGTAAGAATTTTACAGACAATCCAATCTCCTAATTTTCTCTTTCTTCGTTTTCGACTACATTTTTTGTGTGTTAAATTTTGCTTAATATTCAATTCTTTTCAACGTCACTAAGACTAATGTTCTAGCACTCAAGGAAAACCTCGCATCCCTCACAGGCACGGCCATATAACACCAGAGGCTAATATACCGTGGGAGGGTGTTGAGAGATGGTCAAACTCTCTCAGATTACCGTATCCATACTCATTTTTTAAAATTTCTTTAGAATACAAGGTATGTGTATAAATTTCCTTTGGGGATCTTCACAGAGCTGTAAAATAAGCCCTTTGGTTGCTTGGGATGAAGTCTGTAGGCCCAAGAACTCAGGTGGCTCGGGATTGAAGAATCTATTTTTTTTGGAACAGAGCAACTGCTATGAAATTGATGTGGGTCGTTGCCAATAAGAAGGACATACTATATGGGTCAAATGGATCCATAGTATATACCTTAAAGGAACATCAACTTGGGAGTATAATAGCAGCTCCAATGCCTGCTACTATTGGAAAAAAACCTGAAAGTCTTCACTAATAGGCCTAGAAATGGAGATTACAGTGTAAAGGAGGGTTAGAACTGGTTGTTAGGTGTTAGAACTTGCCCCTCTTGGAAGAACCTGGTTTGGGATGAATGTAGCATTTCCAAACACCAAATTTTTTGCTTTCTATTATGTAGGGACAGGTTGCCAACAAATTGTAGACTGAGTAAGTCCATTGATATCCAAAACTCTTGCAGCCACCCGAATGAAGATATTCATCATTTGTTTGTGTCTTGCCCTTGTGTTATGGATATGTATAACAAGTTATCTATGTGGATGGGATATGATTTGAAGCTCAATTCTATACTTGAATTGGAGCTTAGGTTTAATAGTATTAAACCTGGAAGGAGAAGACTCACATTTGGAGCTACAGTGGTTGCTATTTGTTAAACTGTTTGGACAGCTCGAAATGCTTAAGTACATAATCAGAGGGATATTTCAGTGGATTTGGAGCTACCGTGGTTGCTATTTGTTAAGCTGTTTAGAGAGCACGAAATGCTTAAGTACATAATCAGAGGGATATTTCAGTGGATGAAATATTGTGTTTGGGTAGTCATTGTGTTGAGGTATTGTGTTTCAGCGATTGTGTTTGAAATATTGTGTTTCAGTTGTTGGGGATCTATATAACTAAGTTTGAGTAGTAATTGTGTTGATTCTTAATAGTACTTATTGATTTTTAATTGCAGCAGTTTGTGGTGGAGTTCTAAACATAAGTTTTGCTTGAGTGGTAGTAAAGGATTGGAGTTCTTTGGTTAAATAAAATAAATAAATAAATAAAAGAGATCCAAATCACTATGGATTAATTAGGAAAAATTTGTTCTCCCTAACAAATTTGCCGATAGAGGTGGAAGACGGGCACACCCTTCATCTAATTGAGAGAGACCTGACAGCACCAGCATCTACGAGCGGTCAACAACATGAAGGTTCCATTACTTCTCTTCCATTTCCTATCAAATCCTTTTTCTTTTTAGTTTTGAACCTGCTCGAAGCTGATTTGTGAGTGTGTGAATGCTTGTTTTTTCTGTTTTTTGTATGTGTGTAACAATTGAGTTATTTTTGTTTTGAATTATGTAGCAGAACCTACTGTGGTTCCCAATCAAATCATTCCAGTAGAATGTCCATTGGTATTGAGGTTGCATATTACGTCACCATAGACCCGCGTCATGGAACTGAGGGTCCGGTTAATACAATTGAGGGTTCGCATGATGGCTCCGAGCGCCATGGCTTTGAGAGACATGCGTAGGTTGGAAGCGATGCGGCGTCAGATCGCCCTTGTCCCACTTAGACGCACTGAGCAGACAGCCACCACTGCTGTGGCCTTACCTACTGAGCAGACCGCCACCACTGCTGTGGCCTTACCGGAATGGCGGTCTGCTCAGTAGGTCTAACATGCCCCCTTTGTAGATTTCAGCTTCCAGCAGGTTCAAAACTGAAAAGAAGAAGGATTTGATAGGAAATAGAAGAGACGTAATGGAACCTTCATGTTGTTGACCGCTCGTACATGCTGGTGCTGTCGGGTCTCTCTCAACTAGATGAAGGGTGTGCTCGTCTTCCACCTCTATCGACAAATTTGTTAGGGAGAACAAATTTTTCCTAATTAATCCACAGTGATTTGGAGCTCTTTTATTTATTTATTTATTTATTTATTTATTTATTTTATTTAACCAAAAAACTCCGATTCTTTACTACCACTCAAGCAAAACTTATGTTTAGAACTCCACCATAAACTGCTGCAATTAAAAATAAATAAGTAATATTAAGAATCAACACAATTACTACTCAAACTTAGTTATATAGATCCCCAACAGCTAAAACACAATATTTCAAACACTATCGCTGAAACACAATACCTCAACACAATTACTACTCAAACACCATATTTCATCCACTGAAATATCCCTCAATTACAATCTAACCACATGCTTCTTTTATGTTGTCTCATTGTTTGTGTCCTCTAGAGATTACTAATTGCTTGTAGAGAAAGCCATTTTAACTTCTGGCTTTTTATTTTTCTTCTTCTTATTCTGTTGTTCTAGCCATTGGTCCTATGGCGTTGAATGTTGACTGGTGATGCAGTTAAGGATTCATAAATGAACTGCACTGTTAGTCAATATGAATGAGAGGGGTGGAGTTGAACATGCAACTTGAAAATGTATATTCTACTCTTTTGTGCAGCCCGACTTTTCTAAATCTTCTTTCAAATATAACTCTTACTGTCTTTCAGATTTCGTGTTTCTCTAAGGGGTGGTGGCCGGTTTAAATCCACAGTTCCGTAGATTCTTGTAAACTTCTAAAGAAACAAAATTTATTTGACTTTTAATGCCCCCTCCGTTGCATAATTTTCTTCTACTCTTGACTAGGCTCACTCTCTAATACATTAGGAACTGTGTGGTTGAGGTTTATGCCGAGTAACATTTCATATAGTTTAATCTGTATGTATTGTGTATGTTTTGGTTGGTCTTGTAAAAAAGAATCGGATGTTTTGTTGATTTTTTAGAAATCTGCACTACTCTTGCTGTTTTTTGTCCGTTGGAGTGCTTCTTTGCTTCAAAAAATAAACTTTAATTGATATATCTTCCTTGGGGATAATATTTTGAAGCATGCCATGATGTTTTTATGCTGATTTTGATGTTTTAGGGGCTGAATTTTTGATAAAAATAGACCGGCAGTGCTGTTTTCGTAAAAAATCTGCAATATTTTTGGTTGTTTTTCATGCCGATTTTTGTGTTCAAAGATGCCTATATGCTGAATTTTGAAGTTTCATTGTTAAAAACTTGCATGGGAACTTATGTGGGAGCATTTAGCATGCGTTTTTAATCTTGTCTTGATCGATATATGCTCCTTGTTGCTCTCAAAGTGGAAAAAATGCAGAAAATCTGTTTCAAAAAGACTTTGAAGCCTATTTGTGCATCTTTAAATCAGATTTTTCCATTTTAATTGAACATAAAAATGCTATTCTTTATCTTGTTTCTACTCTTTTTATTTGTTTTAAAGAAACACTTTTACTTCTCTATACTACTTGATGGCCTAAGTGAATATGTTTTTGCAAGTAGTAAGTTGTGTCTAGCCATTGACGTTAAATCGGGCGGCTTATGGGAGGCAACCCACATACTTTTCTTGCTCTTTATTTAATTTGTATTATTGTTTGCTTATTAATCTTTGGTTTTGTTAAAAACACAAACAAAAAAATCATAAAAGCAGAAGAAAAAAAATCAGAAAAATGGAAAAAAACTTCATCATCAAGAGTTCAGAAATATTGTTGCTTTTGGTGCTTGTTTAATGGTCTATTTTTGCTCCATGTATGCTTCTAACCATTTATTTGAGTGAAAATGCAAGGGCTATTAAGTTATAGGTAGAAGTATTCTCCTTTGGAGTGAAAGTCTGCACAGAAATGGTGCAAAATCTGGTTTGAAACAGCAAGTCCAGGTAGGAAAAAAAGTGAAATATGATCCAAATCAGTATCTCAGGTTTGGGCTTTAGTTTCCTTACCTTTTTGTGTTCAAAGTTTGGTTTTTGATATTACAATTTGCACAATGAGAAGTTGCACTATAAAGTCATACTTTTTTGCACAAGTGAATAGCCTATCCCATTCAAATCTGATTCTTGAGCTTATATGGTTAATATCTGCATAGTATGTGCAAAATTCTGTCTTAGACCAACTGTCTCAAGTNCCAAATCAGTATCTCAGGTTTGGGCTTTAGTTTCCTTACCTTTTTGTGTTCAAAGTTTGGTTTTTGATATTACAATTTGCACAATGAGAAGTTGCACTATAAAGTCATACTTTTTTGCACAAGTGAATAGCCTATCCCATTCAAATCTGATTCTTGAGCTTATATGGTTAATATCTGCATAGTATGTGCAAAATTCTGTCTTAGACCAACTGTCTCAAGTACCTAATGGTTGCTTTGTTGAAAATCTAACCTCTCGGGTGTTATAATATGGTCTTATTTGAGCTGAAAATTGAGACATGTGCATTGTTTACAGCTGATTTTTGGATACTAAGGAAAAATTCTGCACTTTGAAAAGTTATTTTTGGACTTGTAAGCTGATTTTTTGAGTGCAAAATGCAAATTTTACACTTTCTACAGCTTATAGGTGTTGAAATAGGAAAAAATCTGCAATCTTTTCTTGGTGTTCAATCTGATTTTTGAGTTCATCCGATGCATATGTGCTAAATTATGATGTTTAAAAGATGCATATGAGCTGCTTTGCACGTGCATGACATAACTAACCTTCTCATATGCAGCATTTTGTTTTGAAAAGTGCAGAAAGGCACAAGAATTGGTTTCCAGAACCAAATTTGAAGCTTAAAATCTACATTCTTTAAATCTGATTTTTATCTCTTCAAAGCTAAAAGACTTGGTCTTAGTCATGTTTTTGCAGATTTTAGGTCCATCGAGCACTTTAAGGAGGGAAAAGTGATGAGTTGATGCTGCGTATACTTTGTTTTTTTGCATTTTTCTCTCCCCTTCTCTCTTGCTATGTCCGTGCTTGCTTATTATTGCCATTTGCATACCATATAGATGCATTGGGGACTAGGCACATTTTAAGTGTGGGGGGAGTTTCTCACGATTATCTTATTATTTGGGAAATTATATTTTGGGGCAAAAAATTTTTTCTTTTCAAAATAGGTTTTGGGTCCAAATATTTTCATTCTTAGTTGCATTACTTGCATATCTACTTATTTAGAGCATTATTTTCAAAATTGATCCAAAAACCTCATTGTTTTTTCTTGGGGCTTTATTTCTGAAAAATGGCAAGTGTATACTTTATAAACCCGCATTGCGTCTTGTGCTCTTTTCTTAATAAAAATGACCTTAAAATGTTTGAAATCCTTCTAGGAATCCCATAGAATTTTGTTTTCTAGAACTGGCCATCCACATATTATCTAGATGCTGCCTAATCAACCATTGCTTGATATTAAAATCTCAAAAAAAAGAAAGAAGAGAAACCAGTTTTAGGAACCCTTTTTAGAAAATGGTGTGATTTTTTTCCTATTCTTAGGCTTATTGATGAACCTTGCTACCGTTGCCATTGAGCCATTTTAAACTATAGTATTTTCCCTTAGGAAACTGTTTTGTGGCAACTTTAGAGCATTTTTTTAGAACCCAATATATCCATTGTTTAGTTCTCCATCTTGTAGGATTTTTAGCTCACTTTTTTTTCCAAAAATATTTTGGGCATAAAGTTTTAAGTGTGAGTGTGTAAAGTGCAATTTGTTCTTCTTGGTGATGATAAAAAGAAATCTGTTTTCTCTTTGGTCTTTTGAACGAGGACGTTCAAATCTTAAGTGTGGGGGTATTTGATAAGCCGGTTTTGGGTTAGTACTTTTTATTCTTTTTTAGGATTTTTAAATATTTTTAGAGTTTAATTTTTAGTTGTTTTGCGTAGTTTTATTTTAATTCTATTTTTTACAATCTTTTAATTTTCTTTCATAAATAGTAGTTTTTTAATCATTTCTTTTTACATTCTATTATTTTTATTTTTCCTAACCCAAAATTATCAAATATCTTATTTTTCGAGAAAAATATAGCAAAAGGCCAAATTGAAGTTCAAGTTTGAAAATAAGAGGGGGAGAGTGAATTGGGTCGGAGCCCAAGCCAATTATCAGCAAGAATTATCACCCAAAGTGCTCAAAGAGAAAAGAAAGAAATCCCTGAGCACCGTGACCAAATCCAAACGGAAGGGGAGGCATCAATTTCTCTTTCAATTACGCATTCAAGCAGCAACGTCTCTTTTGCGTCTCACTCATCCGCGCCTTCCTCTGTAACGGACCAACGGGAAGAAAAGCTCCTGCTATAAATTGATAGAAGTACCTTAGGGGAACAACGGAGGAGGGAATTCACGCGGAGAATAAAGCAGCGGCTTGGCCGCTGCTATGGTGGTCGCCGGCGATGGTGGCAGGCGGCGCGGCGAACGGCCGGCAGACCCGCAGCAGCTCCAGCTCCGGTGGGCAGCCTCCATCACAGCTCCAGTTTACTCAATTTGTTCATCTTCTTCATCTAATGGTAACCCTTATTTGTCAATTTTTATTTTTTTCCTCCAATTCTATGTAAAAGTTTGCTTTTTGTTCAATTTTCACATTTTTTGCTTGTTGTGTTTGTTTCAAAAATTCTAAAAATGGTTGGTGTTCTTATTTTTGGGTTTTTTTAATGTTTATATTAAATCCCTTATGAATGAAAATTGATTCAAACTAGTTTTTCTTCAATTATTGAGCAAATTGTTGTTGAATTGGTTGAATTGCATAATTTGATTTCATAAGTAGGTTGGTATGTGGAATTCGGTTTTTGTTGAAGCTATTTTAACTCCATAAGGTAGTTAAATGAACTCCGGATTCATACGTGATTCTTTGTTGTGTTTGTGTTCGTTGATTTTAAGAATTTTGGACTTCTTAGCTCCATAAAATTCATTTTCTTTAGAATTCGTTATTGAGTGATTGTCATGTTTTCGTATGTTTGTTTGTTGTTTTCATTAATTTGAGGTTGTTTAAGCTCAAAAACAATTCCTGATTTAATGAAAATATGTTGTGTTCATCTATGTGAATAGAAAAAACATCATTGGTTTGAGAAGTTCATGGAAATCTGTGAAATGTGCTCATCATTAGGAGAAAAAATTTATTAAAATGCATAACGTTATAGATTATGTATGAGAGTTGAATGCATAGTAATTCTCTCTTTTATAAACTTTTTCTATAGTGGAAGTATGTTTTCATGCTTAAATAGAGAGTTGGGGTTCTAAGGTATATTTCAAAACGAGCCTTTGAATTGCATGACTCCGAGCCGTGTGGAGAGTTGACAATCCTCCATATCGTGGTTAAGGAAATGAATCGACTCGGCCTTTGATTGATTTTTCCTATTCTTAAGTGCGTAAGTTACGTAATATATTGTCTACGTGCCTATTCTATGTGTAATGTTCGATTTGTGTTCGTTTTTTTTTTAAATTTTGTTTTGGGTTCTTGGCGGTGTTTTTCGGGTTACCTTGGTTGGGGAAGTTGATTATCTTTTGAGCTTGTTTTTCCCCATTTTATCAAAAAATCAAAAAAACAAGAAAATATAAAAACAATTTTTTTTTTACTTTTTATTCAAACCCCCCCCCCCTTGTTATATTCTTTTTTGTTTATAATATAAGTTTTTATTTACTAAGTTTATTTAATTTGTGTATGTTTATAAATTATAAATATAAGTTTTTATGTTTTATTTACTTTTATATACTTAGGTTTTTGTTATGAGTTTCTAAGTTATATTATAAGTTCTTTGTTTATAAAAGCTATAATTATAAGTTTTATATTTATTTATTTAAAAGTTTTATAAGTGTTTTCATATGTGTAGTAGTTAGTTTGTTTTATTTAGTGACAATGTGTGTGCATGCTAATTTGATTTCAAAAGTACAAAGTTTCTCTGTGGGATCGATTCTTACTTGTCCTAGCTACAGTTTTTATTTGATTATTCATTGGAGGTTAGTTAATGATATTTTATAAATTTTTAATTTGTTTTGGACCGCACGACAAGTCCTCAACACATTTCCTTTATAAATATGTGGTTTTTATGCAACCCAATTTATGAATTAAATAAAAAGAAAAGAAAATTATTTTTATGTAGCCATTTCTAATACCTAATATGTCACATAATTTTTCATATGGAAAATATAAATTAAAAGTTTGGTAAGAAATATTCGATTAAATATAAATATGGGGAAAAATTTCCTTTTTACAATAATATTCTTTCTAAATTCTATATTTTTTCTCTTTATTTGTAACAAATTTTTAGAATAAAATATAAAATACTCTCTTCACCTATAAATAAATTTTATAACTATTTATTATACCTTTACTTGAAATTAGTTTTTGGATTAAATTTATTTAAATATTGACACCTAATAAATAAATTGTTTTCTTCACCAATAAATAACTTTAATATTAATTTTGACAGCTAATAATCTAATATTCCACTCAATTAAAAATATAAAAAAATGTGAAATTAATATTTTGGTATGAAATCTTTGAATAAATTTAAGTATGCAAATGAAACATTCGTTTTAATGATAATATCCTTTACCAATTCAAAACTTTTTACTCTCTTATTTTATAATAAAATTTTCAACCAATAGATAAGATGATTTTTAACCTCTAAATCAATTTGATACAAGTTTTTGTTTATGATATGTTAGAACGAAGTTAGTTTTGATTTGATTCATTGAAATATTGATGTAAAATTTAAAACACACAATATATTTTAAAATTTACATCAAAAGATATATAGAATAAGAGATGACTAAACTATAATTATATTATAATAGAAAAAATACTGTGCGTAATTTCATAGTTTGATTATATTGATTTTATGATCTGACTTTATTATATAAAATTTATAGTTTATAGTCCTTAGACTATTTATGATTTAAATTGAAAAATATAATATTCTTAGTCATCTCTTATGAATTATGATGTGATATTTTTAATTAAATTATAGTTAACAATTGATATAAAAAAAATGTGTTACCAAAACATACTATATTTACATAACATTCTTTATGATTTCAATATTATGAAGCAAATTTAATTATGAAAAATAGATCATCACTTTCATTATAATACATTTTTTAAAGTTTTATATTTTTTTACAACATTTATACTAAAACTATCAATGAATAAATGAGATTTCCTTCTTTTAAAATACATACTTTCATAACTTCTAAAAACTCATATTTTTATGACACACTTAAATGAATTTAGTTTTTATTTTATTTTTTAAATATTGATATAAAATAAAATTTTAAAAAAATATATTTTGATCTCTGCATTAAACTACTACAAACGACTAGCCTATTTTCAAAATGATCAAATATTTAAATCAAATAAATTAAAAAAGGAGTAATTTTGTACTCAAATAAAAAGAAAAAACACAAAAAAAACTATAAATATTTTTGTAAATTTCTACTCAAAATCATAGAACCACTAATGTTTTTTCTATTAATTTCTTTAATTAATGCTAATGAATAGAATAATTGGATTTTTAATTATTTTTTATTTTTATTTTTTGAATTATAGGATTTCTAATCTAAGATTTTATTTTTTGACTTATGCGTGGAGAGAAGAATCATTTTGATATTTTTTAATCAATGCAAGAGAGGAAAATCATGATGGTACGTGAGAGATGAATAATATTTATTTTGCTATTCAAAATTAAAGTAGTGACACAGGATAGAAGAATCATATTCTTTGAATCATAACTAATGCAAGGAGAATAATAATAGAATCTCCAATATATTTTTTAATTAAACTGTGGAAAGAAAAATAATATTTTTTTAATCAATATGAGGAAGTAGAATAATATTAATGCGGGAAGATGAATCAATTTTATTCGATAATCTAAACTAATATGGGGAGAATCATTTTTTTGCCTATCAATGATGGTTGTATAATGGCTACGTCAAGATTGATGTGGATGCTTTAACAATGTTGGCTAATAGAGTGTCGGGGTTCATTTTATTACTTGAAATTATCAAAGGGCTTTTAATGGTAGAGGAAAAGGGCTTTTAATGGTAGAGGAAATTTCAGACCTAAAGAAGTGGAGGTAATTTATGTAAATGAGGCTTGAACCTTTATCAAGAACAAAGATGGGAGGCATATCTTTGCGGAAATAGATTGCAACGAAGTGATTGATGCTCTTAATGATTCCACCAATATTATGATTTAGTGAGTGAGAGTAAAAGTCGGGTTGTAAGTATCAGTTTTAGATGTTTTTGGTAGTCTTTTATAATATCACACAAAAATGTTATATACCTTAATTTTTCAAAATGTTCTAATTTAAATAAGAGTCTGACATGTTAATTTTCAAATATATATAATATAATTTTCATTAGCAAAGATTATATTTCCTCTATCCCATAAAACTTTTCTCCTTTCTTTTTTAATTCATCCCAAAAAAACCTTTCTCATTACTATTAAAAACTCACTTTTATCCTTATCAAGTCTTAACCTGTCTATCACATCATAGTTTTCACTATTAATCTACCCATCACATGTTACTTTTACCCATCTTATCGAAGGACATTTTTGAAAGATTAATATCAAATTAAATTATTAAAAAGTCAAAACGAGAAAAGTTTTGTGATTTGGAGGAAGTATATTTTATCATTACTCTAACTTTTAATGTTGATGTTTTATTTGGTATATACGATTCTTTAAAAATGTTGTAGCAAAGAAAAATTAAAAATTCGTTCCACCTGTGCATGACACGGGTTAAAAGACTAGTTTTTTTAGATAAATTGGACTTTTCAGACATAAATTTGGTGGGATCCATAAAATTATTTTCTAAAATAATTATGGACGTTTAATCTCGTAAGTTAGATAAATGTTTCGACATATTACACGCCATAAATGATTCTCGAGTAAATGAGAAATTAATTCTCAAAATTGAATATGAGGGAAGAGTAAAAACCCTTGTCCCACACCGATTTTTGAACCTTTCGTATTCTCATATTTAAACTTGAACATTTAATTGAGTTTATGAAACGAACAAGAAAGGACTCCTCGCGTGCCGCTGCCGCCGCCGTCCGGCTCGGCGAGCCACGCGCCGCGGCGGGGCGCGGCCTGGGGCCGGGGCTGCGGCGGGGCTAGTTTTTTACGAGACCGAATTAAACACGCGTGGACACTTCATTAATCACGAAGTGTGGATTGTCCAAGGGAAATGCATGCATGCCGACCGAAGAGTCACTGGAGACTCTTCGGTATATCTGTCCGGTCTGTCCATTAGCCAAACTTCCTCCTATTTAAGGAGAGGTTGGTTGAGAGAACAAAAACACAGCAAAACCCTCTCTGTAATACGTATAGTCTTCCGACAATTCCTCGGTTTCCGATCGTCTTCTCCAGCAGTAACATCTTGTCATTCTCGTTCGTCGGTGCACGGCTCTACCGACCTAGGCCTTGCACGTAATGGTTTTATCCTGGGAAGAGATTGCCCACGTTTGCCAGTGCGGGAGGCGGGCAATACTACCTTAAGGAAAGCTCTGGCGACTCCGCTTTCCTAACCTTTAGTTCGAGAAACTACTCCG